AGCGACGCGAGCATCCAAGGGCTTGGATGTGTGTTAATGCAGGAGGGCAGGGTAATTGCCTATGCTTCACGACAGTTGAAGAAGCATGAGGTAAATTACCCCACCCATGATCTAGAGTTGGGAGCAGTGGTGTTCGCACTGAAGATTTGGAGACATTATCTCTACGGAGAAACATGTCACATATACACTGACCATAAGAGCTTGAAGTACGTGTTTACTCAGAAAGAGTTAAACATGAGGCAGAGACGGTGGATGGAGTTGATAAAGGACTACCATCTAGTGATTGAGTACCATCCAGGCAAGGCAAATGTGGTGGCAGATGCTTTGAGCCGGAAGAGCTCATCTGGGGCATTGATAGCTAATTTGAGGGCATTAAGAGCCCAACTGGAGGTGTCCAGTAATGGTGCCTCATTGGCACGGTTTGAGGTGAGACCTACTTTGCTTGATGAGATCAAGAAGGGTCAGGAAACTGACGATGAAATTATGAAGATCAGGGAACGCATGCAAGCGGGACCGGTGGAGGACTTCAGGGAAAGAGACGACGGTCTTTTATTATTTCGTGACCGAGTGTGTGTGCCGGCAGATGATGAGCTCCGAAAGTCCATCTTAGAGGAAGCTCATTCATCGGCTTATGCCATGCACCCGGGGGGCACGAAGATGTATCGCGATTTGAAGGAAAGTTACTGGTGGTCCGGTATGAAGAGAGAGATAGCCGAGTACATCAGTCGGTGCCTTACTTGTCAGCAAGTCAGGGCAGAACATCAGCATCCAGCTGGGCTATTACAGCCACTTTCCATTCCAGAATGGAAGTGGGAGCATGTGACTATGGATTTCGTGGTGGGGTTGCCACGGACCGTGAACAACTATGATGCGGTATGGGTAGTAGTTGATAGGCTCACCAAGAGTGCACACTTTTTGCCTATAAACATCACTTACCCTCTTGAAAGATTGGCAAAACTATACACGGAGGAGATTGTGAGGCTACATGGAGTCCCGATATCCATTGTCTCGGATAGGGATCCACGATTCACATCTCGATTTTGGCCCAAGTTTCAAGCATCTTTGGGTACTAAATTGAAGTTCAGCACGGTTTTTCATCCACAGACGGATGGACAATCCGAGCGAGTGATACAGATATTGGAGGACATGCTTAGGGCGTGTGCTCTGGAGTTCCAAGGAAGTTGGGACAAACATTTGGCTCTAGTCGAATTCGCCTATAACAACAGTTATCAGGCGAGTATCGGCATGCCTCCATACGAGGCATTGTATGGGAGGAAGTGCAGAACACCGTTATGTTGGGACGAGGTTGGCGAGGCCAAGCTCGAGGGGATTGAACTTGTTGAAATCACCATGGCTAAGGTGAAAGTCATTCAGGATAGACTCAAGGCTGCCCAAGATCGGCAGAAGAGCTATGCCGACAAACGACGAAGGCCATTGGAATTCGAGGTCGGTGATAAGGTCTTCCTAAGGATTTCTCCTTGGAAGGGTATCATCCGATTTATATCGAGGGGGAAAGCTTAACCCCCGATACATTGGTCCATTTGAAATCCTTGAAAGGATAGGGGCCGTAGCATACCGACTCAAGTTGACGCCGGAACTTGAGAAGATACACGATGTGTTCCATGTATCGATGCTCAAGAAATACGTGAGAGACCCGTCTCATATTCTTGAGAGGCCACCGGTAGAGATACGCGAAGACCTACAATATGCGGTGGAACCGGTGAAGATTGTGGGACAACAAGTGAAGAAATTGAGAAACAAGGAGATTCCTATGGTGAAAGTCCTTTGGAGGAGTGATCGGGTCGAGGAAGAAACATGGGAGACCGAGGTCTCGATGAGGGAGCAATACCCTTTTCTTTTCGACTAGACACGTGGATTTCGGGGACGAAATCCCAATTAAGGGGGGGTGAACTTGTAACACCGTCCCCAAATATATTTACTTTCAAGTGAATATTGTATTTTAACCTTATTGAAAAGGTTAACGAATTTACGATGTCCCGAATTTTTATTCTTTGCACGAATAGTAAATTCGCACGTGGGGCCCGCACCGGGAGCGGGGGCCGCCCGATAGTACCGGGACCACATAAATTATTCATCTTGGCCTAGATAATAATTATATGGTGGTGGATAACTCATTTGAGCCATGGAAGGGTCCAGAGTTGACCGATTGGTCAAAAGAGGCCCAAATACCGGTATTGGCAATTTAACCGATAAAAGCCTGAAATTGAATCTCGAGGACTTATAAATTAAAGTTGGGAGATGAATATTCATTATAGGGGTCATAATGATGGAGAACACATAATATATTTTATTTGACCCAATAAAATAAAATATGTTTAAAACAGTCCGAAAAATACAACTTTCGGGACCGATTGTACACTTTGGGACACAAAGGGGTGACCTCCCACAAGAGTGGGGGCCACCCCACGTTTTTTTGCTAAGAAAAAACAATTGAGGGGCTGCACACATGGGTTGACATTGGAGGAGAGTGATGGGTGGGTGAGAAGAGACCAAATGTGGCCCAACCCTCTCACTCATTTGCCTATTGAGACAAAGAGGAGTACCCTCATCCCCTCAACTTCTTTGTGCGGCCAAGGCAACCCAAGAGAGAGGGATAGCTCCCAGAAAAGATTACCATCTTCCATAGCCAAGAACAAGCAAGATCAAGGAGGTCCAAGGGAAGGATTTTGAGGAGGAAAAACTAGGTGGATTAAGGTAAGGACCTTATAATAACTTCTCCTCTATTCTTTAATTATCATATGAATTATATATCATATGAAGAGCCTTGAGGGTTGTTCTACATGATTTAAGTGTAGAATAATGGATTGGAAGGTGGTTCCATGTCCAAAAACGGATATGGAAGCCAAACCGACCGGCTTACCGGGAAATAACCTTTTAGAGGTTATTTGTATTGATTAAGGTTTTATGATGATTAAAACCTTGTTAGGGACTTGATTTAAGCATTTTTGAACCTCGCCGGAGTTTCGCCGGAGTTGGTCAAAGTTCGCCGGAGTTGGTCAAAGTTCACCGGAAACTAGTCAAAGTTCAACCGGGAAGCGTAGAACGCGTGTGAGCTCACTTAAGGTGAGGATGACCGACTATATTGCTTATAATTATTGGGTTAATTTCATAAGATTACCTAAATGAATTATATGTGTTTGGCATGATGTATTTAAAATAATAAAATGCCTAAATGAGATTCTTATTGTTTATAAGCAAAAATGCATAATATACAAATTTATGAATAAATTGTGTATGATTATGTGTTATGAATACAATGGTATAATAGTTGTGTAAACTATAAACTAAATTGTGATAAATATACTTTTACCTCATGTAAGGAAGTCATGGAAGGATAAAAGTGATATTTTGATATTAGAGCCAAGTTATACTTGAATGTGGAATTTAATTGAGATATTCAAATTATTATGAACTTAAGTTACATTTGGAGTAGGCCTTAAGGGTTACTCAAAATGGATGGAACCTAGACTAAGAAGTGGTTTAGGGATTAGTTGACGTGACTATGAGCCGAGCTCTAGCACGTGGTAGCATGACTATGAGCCGAGCTCTAGCAAACGTAGGGTGACTATGAGCCGAGCTCTAGCACAAATTAGTATGACTATGAGCCGAGCTCTAGCAAACGTAGGGTGACTATGAGCCGAGCTCTAGCACAATTTAGTATGACTATGAGCCGAGCTCTAGCAAATGTAGTGTGACTATGAGCCGAGCTCTAGCACAATTTAGCATGACTATGAGCCGAGCTCTAGCATGAAGGAACATGAGTTAAGTACAAATGAATAACATCTTGGATTGAGGGTCTTGGAAATTGAAACTTTGATTATACTTAGTATAGTTGTCATTGTACTTGTCAAATGCTTCCAAGTACTGACCTCCCCTTCACGGGGGAGGCCACCTCACAGTTTCAGGTAGGGAGTAGAGCTTGCTACTACCGCTCGTTTCTTCGGGGAATTCAAGGAGGAAGGCGGGGTTCGTACTTCTCCTGTTTCTGTTTTGAAAACAATTTAAATAATGCTCATGGATATTATTTCGAATATTTATTTGGGGGCTTGTATGCCCGTGGTTGCCACGTGTGGCTTGAATATTTGTAATTATGTTTCCGCTGCTTAATTAAATATTTTACGTTATGATTGTTTATGGATGTACTATGTGTGAATGGTATTCAAGACGCCTAGTATAGTATGGATGAGTTGGACTGCGGTTGACTATTCGTACTGTACGGCGGGTTGTTGACATGTCCGGTAGGTCCGGGGCGTGACACTTTCTTGCACCACCTGCAAGTTGCCCACCACAGTCCGGTCTTCGGGTCCTTCCACTTGTCAAAATTGTTTTGCATAAGGGAAGATGTACTTTCCATATTTAAAATGGTATATGTATAAGTAGGAATGTAGGATAATAAGAGAAGATGAAGATGGAGAAAAGTTTGAGAAGAATTGGAGAAAAGGTGTAGAAAAATGTTAGAAAATAGATGTATTTATAGATGTTTTTGAACCCCACTCCCCACACCACCACCCCCGGGACCCCCCTGCCCCCCACCCATAGCCCCAACGGCTATATAGCCGTTTGGGAGCTTTGATTTTTTTTTTTAAGTTATACACATATTGTAAAATAAATTAATTAATTTAATGAATTAAGTAAAACTAAAACTATTTGTACTTAGAAAAGTGGTTTGATTTATAATTTACAAATGTTACAAAATAGGTGTATAAGTATTTAAACAAATTACATATTCTAAATGTATTTTTAATTTAAAAACCGGCTTTATATTTTAGAAAAATAATTTTAAGTCGTTAGATTGTAACCAATTAATTAATTTGAGAAGAGCTACATATGAAAAAGTGAACACATATTTATTTGAAATATGAAGTACAAGTTTACAAATTAATTTGAACTACAACTACAAATTTACAATTTTGAAATATGAAGTACAAGTTTACAATTTTGAAATATGAAGTACAAGTATAAATAAATTTGACAAGTGCTATAAAATACATTTTGTAATAAATTCTAAAATACTAATCAATCGGAATCTCCGGCATAGGTAGAGCCACCATCGGTTGTTGAGTCATCCATAAAATCTTGGGAGGGGGTGATGCTCAATTCTTGAGTTCTACGTGCGGCCTTCAACCAATCGTGGTAGCATATAAGCGTCTCAAGAGACTCCGCGCTCAATCTCGATCTAGATGCCGTTAGGACGTTCCCGGCCGAACTAAATTCTTGTTCCACAGCAACTGTTGAAACCGGCATTGATAGTACTTGCTTAGCCATCCGTGCTAAAATCGGGAACGTTCTTTCTTTTGACTTCCACCAGTCTAGAACGTCAAAGTCATCATTTTCTTCAAAATCAACTTCATATGTTAAATACAAAGTAATCTCATTCAATGCGCTTTGTTCAGTGACGTGAGTTGTTTTAGTTTTTTTCATAAGATTGCCAAATGCAGATTTAAAAATCGATTTTCCTTTAGATGAAGATGTTCGTGACGGGGGAGGGGGAGCGTTGCTATATTGTGCACGAAATTCATTAAATAAGGCATAAAATAAAGTACTAACCTCGTTGTATTCCGTTTTCGGATCTATGGGGTTATCGTCATACATTGGAAATTCACCGAAAAATGCAAGATAATAGAAGTTGAAACAATCTTCCAAATTAGCAAGTCTATAACGAGGATCGAGAATAAATGCAATACCATAAATATGAGGAATATGCGCATAATATTTTAAAAACTTTTCCTTCATATTATCACAAAAATAATGAACGAAAACGGCATTTTGAAATTCTTTAAAAGCATCGGCGAGATTAACAGCTTGTGGAATAAATTGGTTTGCGGTAGGTTTATAAACATGACTAAAAGTTTCAGTAGCATTAAAAAAATATATCAAAACATTACAAATTTTTTCGCAAGTGTCGATCTCAGCCGCGTTTATAATATAGTTATCATGTTCTTTTTTAAAAAAGCAGGAAAATGTTCTTTATATCTAAGAACAACTTTAAGTAATTTATAAGTACTATTCCAACGAATACTCAAATCTTTAGGAAAAGCAACATATCTCACACCTCTTTCAGTCAAATAACTTTGCCATTTTAATCTAAGTTGACCATTACCCCAAATACGTCTAACCCCCCCCCCTTTATTACCTCCATGGAATCTCCTAACGCTTTTAAACCGTCTTGCACACATAAATTTATAACATGACATGCACACCGTTGATGAAAAAATCTACCCATCAAAGAATTGGCACCACACAACTCACGCAATCTAGGTATAGCAGCAGTATTATTAGTAGCATTATCGAAACCAATAGCAAACACCTTATCAATCAAATTATACTCAATTAAAATACGCTCAATCAAAATATAAATATGTTCAGCGGTGTGACGATCATTAAATTCACGAAAAGCAAGAACACGTTTATGCATATTCCAATCCTCATCAATATAATGTGCAGTCAGACCCAAATAATATAAATGATGAAAATCATCCTCCCATATGTCAGAACAAATAGTAACACGCCCATCAAAGTTTGCAAAAAAATTTTGTAACCTTACCTTTTCCGCATTATAAAGCCTCATTATTTCTTTCTTAACAGTTTTGCGACTATAATTTCTAAATTGAGGATTTAAACTACCTTGTGCATAATCTCTTAAAGCAAGACTTTCAGAAAACAAATAAGGCAAATTTTCTTCACAAATTAAGTTAGCCATACCAGTCAAATTTTGTGCATCATTGTAGGAGAAATTACCAAAAGGTTGAGAATTCGCAAACCTCGATATTTGAGTTTGCTTCCCCGTTCCGCCGCCTAATTTTGCATACTCCACGGGGTGCTTTGCCTTAAGATGCCTTGCGGCGGATCCGTATCCGCCGGAGGTTCCCAAACTATAATTGTTGTTGCACCACTTGCAAGTTGCGTGCCAATAGCCGGTTTGTGGGTCCTTCCATTTATCAAAATTATTTTTCATTAGTTCAGACTTACTTTTTTTATTACCGGTGGCGGTTTGGGATGAGGCAGGCGCGTCGGCGTCGTGGCTGCCGGCACCCTCCTTCTCGGCCGTCTCCGGTTCCAATTCCTCCGCATCTTCATCCTCAAGCTCCTCTTCGTCAATGGTCGTCGACATTTGTTGTTGTTGTAGAAAGCGGTTATTATGTCGGGCCAATTCTTGTTGGAGTTGTTCTTCGGACATCGCATCTCCATCTCGCCTTTGGTAACCCGTTTCAAAATCATCTCGGCTTTGAGATGAAGACCCGGCAAGTTCTTTACCTTTGCGGGATTTCTTCCTCCCAATCTCGTTTCTTCGATTGCGTTGGAGGTTACCCAAATCAACCGAATATCTACCACCTTCCATCTAAAAAATGTAACAAATATTAATTCACAACAAATATAATAATGGATACAAAACTAATGCAACTAATTAAAACTATTTTAATTAATACTTCAAACTAATTTTTTGCAAAGTAGAATTAATGTGTGTCTCTACAATTAAAATTATAGCAACTTTTGAAGTAAATAACTAGTACAAGTAAAAATGTAACAACAATGCTAATTAAGTAGTTAACTAGTATAGTGACAAATGTAACAAACTAACAACTAGTTAAATAAAATGTGAAGTATTTTAATTAGTATAATGAAAAATGTAACAAGAATGGTAATGAACTAATTAACTAGTATAATGAAAAATGTAACAAGAATGCTAATTAACTAATTAACTAGTATAATGAAAAATGTTACAATAATGGTAATGAACTAATTAACTAGTATAATGAAAAATGTAACAAGAATGCTAATTAACTAATTAACTAGTATAATACTAGTTATAGTAAGTAATATATAATATAATGTTTATATTATATAATATATAAGTATACTACTATAAGATGAGTAATACACTTATATTTTATACTTTAATATATAAAATATATATTAAGTAGATGTAGAATGTATGTATTAAGTGGATATAATAATTGTATAAGAATTAAATATTAGAGTATAATGGAGAATTGGAGATTGGAAAATAAGTATATATAAAATATAAGTAGAGAAGTAGATATTATTATGTATTAAGTATATAGTAATAGTTTATAAAGTATATTTAATACTTTATTATATAAAGTATATATTAAGTAGATATAGTATGTATGTATGTATTAAGAGATATAAGTAGAGATTAAGTAGATAAGAAATATAAGTAATATAGTATATGTAGATAATAATATATAAGTAGATAATTAATATATAAGTAGATATAATAATTGTATAAGTATTAAATAGTAAAATAAAATATAAAGGAGAATAAGAGAATTTGAGAAGATGAATATGGAGAATTGGAGATGAGTAGAGAGTAGGATTTAGGTAGAGTTGGAGAAGAGGTGTGAAAAAATGTTTAAAATTAGGAGTATTTATAGGTTTTTTTTTTAACCCCCACTCCCCACCCCCACCCCCACCCCACCCCCCACCCAAAGCCCCCTGACCCCCCCCGGTACCACCCAACGGCTATATAGCCGTTTGGGGTGGCCGTTGAGCCAAAAGAATAAAAAAAAAAAAAATTTTTAAATTTTGGACCGTTAGGCCCGGGCCCGGGCCGGGCCTCCAAAACAAGGACCCGAGCCCGGTCCCGCTAACCCGACCGGGTCTCTGCCCGAACCGGACCCGGACCCGAGAACCGGGCCGGTTCCGGGCCCGCATAGTGGCGGGCCGGGCCGGTCCCGGGCCGGGCGGCCCGAACCGGGTCCACGCCTACTTCACAACTTCACAGAAAAACAGCTTGCTCACTAAAACTGTCCAGTGAACTTCCCAGTTCACTGTGAGTCATCTCCTTGTTATCTGTTCTTCAAATTGATCTATTTCTATAGATCTAAATCCTTCATACTCATGTGTTAGACTAGTTCTAAAGCCTATCAATGTGTTAGAGTATAGGTCGTTGCTATACCTTAACTAATTGAAGCAGACACAAAAATTAGCAGCCAACTCCTAAGGATTTTGGCACTCAGCTCCAAACTGTTTGACAGCCAGCTCTTTCAGGTTTCGGCAGCCTGCTCCTTGAGTCACCTGTTTCTGGCAAACACATTTGTATCATGTTTAACCCATCTCTCTCACAACCAAAATGGTCATAACCTTTGTTTCTATAAAGTGTCACCCTCTTGAGGTCAAGACTTATGTTGCATGTTTTAATATCTCCAAAAAGATATTTGAACACATTCTGTTAGAGGAAAAGAGGATGAAAAAAACGAAAAGATTTAAAAGTCTATTCACCGCCCTATAGACTTTTACCTTACTTGAGACTCGGTTTGTATCTAGGGCACTCATCAGAAAAGAAAAAATAGCTGAGACATAAATGATATGAGGGATACAAAAGTGGACCATTAGGGTAATTTCCACAATTTTAAACTAGCGGTACTCGTTTAAAATAGTCTCTAAGTCTTTTAGTAATATGATAGTATAATTTAACCGTATATTTCCCTATTTTGTATAGTAATTGCACTAAGTAAGACCAAAAATAACTAAAAAGGCACAAATAGGACCACTACATTTTTTACCATTCAAAATAGGACTAAAAAAATTCAGCATACCCAAAATGCCCCTAAGGGTATTATTTCATACTAACATGTAATAATGCATAATAAAATCTTAAAAATAGTAAAAAATCGTATTTTTTTTAAAATCGTACAAAAAAATAAAAAAAAAACAAAAAAAAAATATTTTTAAAATAAAAATAATAATTTTGTTTATTTTTTAAAAAAAAATATTAAAAAATAGTAAAAAATCATAAAAAAAATTAAAAATATGGAAACCTTTCCCACCGCCTCCCAGAACCACCACCTTCGATCGGTAAAAATTATGCCACTTTTATTAAAAAATTCCATTTTTCCCGAAAATGTCAAGAAAATGGCATTATTACTCTTCATAATGCCAAAAATCTCATTGAATCTGTCATTATTATGGCATTACTAGAATTGTTGGCAGATTTCTATTTTTGATTTTTTTTTGAATAAATTAATAAAAAATAGTAAAAACCCATAAAAAATAAATAAATGGATAAATCCGATTGGTACAGATTCTGCCATTATTTGTGAAATATGCTATTGTTTTCTGAAAATGCCAAGAAAATGAATTTTTTACTCATCATAATGCCAAAATTATCATTGATTCTGTCATTATTATAGCATTACTACAAATTTTGACAGATTTCCAACCGTTGATGGGAGGTGGTGGTGTTGGGGCGGCAGAGGCGGCGGTGTTTTTTTTTTTGCATTTTTTTTTAATTTTTAATTTTTTTCACCATTTTTTATAAATACTTTACGAATTTTTTAAATAATTTTTGACGTTTTTTTTATGAATTTATTATT